GCCAAGCTCTTGGGCTGGCCGAAGCCGCGGCCGCAGCGAGGGCAGGCGAAGGGCTTGAGGCCGCTGTGCGAGCGCCGGTGCTTGGCCAGGCTCTTGCTCTGCGTGAAGCTGCGGCCGCAGTCGGGGCAGGCGTAGGGCTTCTCGCCGGTGTGGATGCGCTGGTGCTGCATGAGGTTGGAGCTCCAGCTGAAGCGCTTGCCGCACTCGGCACAGGCGTAGGGCTTCTCGCCGGTGTGGATGCGGCGGTGCTGTACCAGGTGCGAGCTCTGCGAGAACGTCTTCCCGCAGTCGCCGCAGGCGTTGGGCCGCTCGCCCGTGTGCGTGCGCTGGTGCCGCGTCAGCTTTGACCAGTGGCTGAAGCTCTTGCCACACTCGTTGCAGATGTAGGGCGCGGGGGGCCTGGGCCGCGGTGGGGGCCCGGCAGGCGGTGCGGACGGGGACGGGGACAGCTTGGTTGGGGGCCAGCTTGGAGCGTCGTCGTCATCCATGATGAGGATGTCCACTGGAGTCGAGAGCAGGTCATGGCCGGAGATCAGAAGGAGGCCGGAGGAGGGGGAGATTGGAGAGGTCAGAGAAGAGGTCAGATGGAAAACGAGAGGTCAGAGGTAGTGGCTCCACCAAGCACCACATACTGGCCAGGGCTGCATTCCGGGCCTGCAGGCTGGTCTGTCCTGGGTGGTCAGCTCACCTCTGCACCCCTTCCTGGCCCCAGCAACCCATCGAGGCAAGAGGCCGACCTCTGACCTCCACCCTAACCCTCCGAAGGCGAGGTCTCCACAGGGCACCCAGCCCTCTACTGAGGTCACCTCCTGGCAGTGTGAATGGCTGTCCAGCAGGCAGCCTGGGCCCTAGAGCCAGAGTAGGTAGGGGACAGGAAGAGGAGTGTGGGCCCCACTGGGGTCCCAGAAAAGTGAGACAGAAAGCCCAGGGCACACTCACCCAGGACACACTCATGAGACCCTGAACGTGGAGGGGCAGGGCTGGCTGAGGGTGGGGCCAGGCCAGGGACTGAGCCAGGCAGAGGCAGGGCAGCCAGCTGCAAGCCTCACCTGGGTTTTCGTGGCTGGCCATCTGCTGGTCCTCCGAGTCCAGCGGCCCCGGAGACCAGGCTTCTTCCCGAAGCTCCATGCTGAGCCCTGTTGGAAAGGGAAAGCGGGGCTCACAGGATGTCGCACGGGACGAAGGTCCTTAAGGCCGGTGCTAACCATGGACGTGGCGGCTACCGCAGGGTGTCTGATGCCACTCCACGCCTCGGTTCCAGCCCAGGAATCTGGGACCAGGAGGCAACCAGGGGGCAGACAGTGGGCAAAAGGACCAGCTTGGGCCCCAGGCTGAGAGGCTTGGTCCTCACATCCTGCATCTCTCTGTGCTTCCAAGTTGGGGAGCCAGCGCCAGGGGCTCCAGCTGGGGAGCACAGGCAAGTTCTAACCCAGGCGCCATGGCACAGTGAATGCCACACAGCCTTGCTCAGACCCCTGAGGCTTCGGAGGGAGCACAGGCTTTCCGCTGCCCTTTTGCACATTCCTGAATCTCCAGCTGGCACGGGCCTCTACTGGCAAGCCAGGGTGGCAGGAGGTGTGCAGCACGCAACAGGCCCTAGCACAGAAGTCTGGTGTCATCTGCGAGGAGGCAAATCTTTATTGAGACTCCTGCGGCACTTCCAAGCCTAAGCAGAGAGGCAGGTGGGGCCAGCCCCAGCCTGGGCACAAGTGCCCCTGGCTGCTAGGCTGCGACTAGAGCTGCACCTACTCAGGACAGGATACCAGGTGCCGGCAAGTTGTGTGGAGGAGCCACTATTGCGAAGGGCTTGGGAAGGCGTTTCTGGTCACACCCCCAAGCACTCATTCAGCACTTCCATGCAGAAAGAAGCGGGGGGGGGGGGGGAGCACTAGGCAGCCACCGGAGGAACCAGAGTGAGGCACTGAGCACCTTCCAGGAGCCCTGGGGCCCAGCTCCGCCCAGCCCCTTGGTGTCCGCTGGGCCACTGAAGATGCTTCCCGCTCTACCTCCACCCTCCCTGGAGCGGGGCCCCTGAGCGATCCAATTAGCATGGATCTGACAAGGCTATTAAGGCCCAGACAAATTATCATTATTGTTGTCATTAGCCACCCCCCCCCAACCTCCTGGATGTCTGCCTGCCAATTATTCCCTTTCTTCCTCTGCCAATCTCATCCCCCCTCCTCCCAGTGCTGCTTAGGGCTGCACAGTCCCTGCCTGACCCTCACCTCCACTCAGCACTCGGAGCTCACCGCCCACATGTCCACTTCCCACTGGTGTACAGACACCTCCTGGTCGTCCCGGCTTCCGGGTCCTAGGCCTTCTTCTCCCCAACTGCCCTGCACCCCTGCAGCACCGTTACAGCAGTCTCCCCTTTCTGCAGGAGCCAGGACACAACCCCCTTGATTTTCTCTCTCCCCTTCCACCAGCACATCCCAGCAACTGACCCAGTCTGGGATCTACCTGACACCCCCCTCCCCCCACAACAGCTCAGCTTCACCATGTCCTTCAGCCTGATTAAGACCAGGTGAAGGGTCTGCTGGTTATTCCTCCAGTGGCCGTAAGCGTCCACCAAGTATTGTGCATCAGCCATCAGACACAAGCTGGGGGGTCCACTTCCCACACCCCAGCTCTACAAGAGGAGGGCCAGAGAGACAAGGCTGAGCACATGTGCACATAACATGTACATACACATGCACACATTAATGTGTACAAACACCCAGCCAGGAGGAAGGCCCAGGCCCGAGAAGTGAGCACATGATGCAGATCTGTACGTCAACGTTCCAGATGCACAACACCGTCCAGGTGTGGGCACACCACACCAGCACACTGAGGACCCCGGGGTGGAAAGCTGCTGTGCCCCAAAGACTATGCACACTTGGACATCCAGAGGCTGCAAATCCACTGAGGAAGGGAGAGCCCCTGGGCTCTGGCCACTGCCACCCGCCCGACACCTCCCCTGGGCTCCAGCCACTCTCCTTACCCAAGCACCACGCACCTGCCAAGTATGGGTCAAAGCCCAGCCTGTGGGCACGGGGCGCTGTAAGCATATAAGCTCCAGGCCTGATCCCCTAAGCTGGCAGGGGGGATAGGAGGCGGGGCAGTACATCTAGGCCCAGGAGTGGACCAGCTGTGTGACCCAGGCGGGGAGGGTACACCATTCCTCCGTCTCTCAACTCCGTGGAGTCTGTATCTGGACTCAATGAGTCTGCAAGAAGCCAGCAGACACCACGGAGGGCTCGCCTGGCACACTCCACTGCTGCCCTGTTTATGACGAGGAAGCCAGGACATAGACAAAGTGAGTGGCAGATGCCACCATGAAGCAGAGCCCAAACCGTCGGCCAGTCTGTCTAGAGCATGTGTAAAATCCTCCCTTCCTGTGGACAGGGCTGAGTCCCCCCCCCCCCGTGGGGGGACACCACCCACAGCCTCCTGTGGTCCCCACACGTGCCACTGGGCATCCAGCAGACTGCCATGGGGAGGCAGGGACTCCTACCCATGCAGGCTCTGCACAAGGGCGCTGCGGGAGCACCTTACCCCAGCTCAGAAGCTGATGAGCTGCTGGGTGCCCGGCACGGCCACGACACCCAGGAGGTGGCCGACACAGACGTGACACCGCCACTCTATCAGCCCAAGAAAAACCAGGAATCGCTAGAGGCCACCCAGCCCCGGTGGAGAATGAACACCCAGCCCAGGCAGGGCTCTGCACTCCCACAGCAGGGATGTCCCTGCTCCCAACCACCTGGCTGGCCAGCAAGGACTCGTGGTCAGCATGCCCACATGTCATGGCCATCTGTGGCATCACCCCTGCCCTTCCTGCTGTACTGCTGTGGGTCCCTAGAGTGAGGGGCCAGCAGCCCCGAATACAACAGACACACTGAGTTAGGGGCCAGCACTCCTGGCTCAAGGGAATACACCAAGACACCCTCAGAACAGGCCTGTATACGCAGTGCCAACCCTGCCCAGAGAACAAGCCAGCCGGGGGTGGTGGGACTGGGGAGGGTCAGCTCTGGACTTGCCTGCCTGGCCCCAGTCCCTGCCCAAGTGTCACTCCCATCTTCATAAAGCATCACACCTGGGAGATCGGAGGGCGGTCAGGACAGGCACGCTTTACCAGGCTCGGGCTGTCCCAACTGGGGGCCCGATGCCTGGCACAGCACAGGGCAGCACCGGAGAGGTAGGAGAGATCTGGGGCCCCAAGCTGACTATCCTAGAGGGACCACTGAGGCACAGACAGTGGTCTTGGACTGTGTGTCCCGCCTGCCCCCCCCCATAGCTCATGCATCTCCATGTACCCCACAACAGGCTTGGAATGTGCGGTGGCCATGTAGCCCATCCCCCCACGCTCCGTGGCATACTGGCCTTCCTGGCCCATCTCCCCAGGCTGGTCTCCCTTATGGCCTCAGTGGACTCCAGGAGGGACCTGTATGAGGCATGCTGAGGTGTCTAGCACAGCTCACTGACAAGTCTGGCTCCGGGAGACCACTCCCACCCAGGTGAGCTCGCACAACAGCAGTGCATCAGAACCCCAACCCCTTGTGTGACTAGTGCAGCCTTGTGACCACCGTCTCCACTTTCTGACCACCGTCTCCACTTTCTGACCACCGTCTCCACTTTCAAGACTCAAGAGGCAACCGCCTGGGGAAAGGGAAGTGACATCCAAGGTCACGGGACTGGATCACGGAGATCCACGCTGGGGACTAGCACAGGTGGCTCTGGAAGGAAAGCATCTGGAACCTCACACCCAGGTCGACTTGGTCACATTCCCCCTACCCCCCTCTGTGGAGGTAGAAACAAAACCACAGAGGAATTGGGGGGGGAGCTGTGCGGAGCATGGCAGGGACCAGCCCACAGCCGGGGTCAGCCCGAGGCTGGGGTCAGCGGACAGCCGGGGTGAGCCAACTGCTGGAGTCAGTGGACACTCCCACCCGGGAATCTGCTGGAACCCACACTCGCCGGGAGCAGAGACCGGATCTCCGCAGCCTTCAGCGCTGCCCACCGTGGAAGCAGGAAGAAACGCGGAACAGAAATGGAGGCTGTCCCCTCTGACAGCCCTGACCCCTCACTGGGCCGGGGACGCCGGGACGCGGGGCCCAGTGCGGGCCTGCACGGAGGAAGGCCTGGGTCACACCCCGCCTCTCCCGCCTGTGGCCGAGGCTAACCCGCACGTCCAGAACGATCACCTCCGCAACACGGACTCGCCTGGCCATAGGCGGGGCGGGGGCACGGACAGGGACCGGACTCGGCGCCGCCCGGGCAGCGGCAAGGCGGCGGCCCCGGCCGGGCCCCGAGACCCACGCGGCGCTGACCTTGGCCGGGCGCTGCCCCCACGCGCTTCCGGGCGCCCGCGGGCGAATGAATGGGCCTCCCGCCGCCTCCGGAACCCCTAATCGCCCGCCGGATCAAAGGCCAGCGCGGCTCGCCCGGGGCAACAACGGGACGGGGCGACTGGAAAGGGGAAGGAAGGGCCGGGGGAGGCCCGGGGTCCGGGCTGGCCGTCCTCGGGCCAGAGCTTCCGGCCTAGTAGGCAGAGCCCTCCCACCACCGGGCCTCAACTTCCCCCAGGAGTAGCTAGCACTTCCGGCCGCGGCCCACCGCTGGAGCCAACAGCGGCACTGACGAGCTGGCCGAGGACGGCCCGGGACGGC